TCATGTTTGATGCTTCGCGAACGTGCCTCTGTACTCTACGCTTACGTTAATGTTCTAATTAATAAAATTACGCATGTAGATACGAGTTTGTGTCACTCTAATTACGTCGTATTGGAGTTGCTGATGGTATTCAATCATTTAAGATGTTCTTTATTTATGACAAACAAATATTATTATCTTGTTATGGTTACGTTGGTAATAAACAAATCGTAAATATAATTTCACACATGATTATTTATCCATTTACCTGGCCAAGTTCTCAGCCCAATACATCGTTTATTTTACCATTTATATACAATTATTATACTCGTAAATTATAAAGATGTAGATAGTACAATAAATTTTACGGATTTGCCATAATTTTAAAACTTTAAATATTTTTTCAACTCACAGAAATTGGTTCATAAATAAGAACAGATAAGTTTGTTATACAGTAAATACAAATCTAGGAAAGGAACTAAAACCATTGTTCGTCTTATATAACGTAGAGAACAAATAACTACGTTACAAAAGTGTGGAGAAAACAAAAAATAAAAATATGCGAATGCTAAAAAAGTCCATAAACCCAAGTTCTTATATATTCAGGGCTTTGTTATAAAGTTTCAGTTCTGAAATAATATTGTCTGTACTTTGGTTGCGAGCCGCAACACGTACGACTATTACATGAATGTTAATGAGGCTTTCAGTGTGCATTACTTGAACTGTAAACAGAAAATATTCTACGGGCGTGCGATGAGAAACTAATTTCAGATATGTATATTCTTGGTTTTTAAATTCTGATTACTTTCTTTTTTTGATAACAACTCTACGACAGGGAAATAAAAGTGTTTAAAAAAAAGTAGTCTGCGTACATTGGTAACCCTGTTCTACTCGTATTTCTTCCATTGTGCTTACATAACTTTGTTTTGCTTTGAAGGATGTGTCAGCAAAATGATAGGGTAGAAGGGATGGGTGTCTCCATCCCACTCTTGTTTTTGCTTCGGAGGAAAAACTGTACTTGCACGGTTGTGTTTCAGTAACAGAACACAAAGACATAACACCCAAGTCTGCTAAAATATCGATACATTAATTTTTGAAGGATACCACGTCACAGAGTTTTCTATAACATCCATAGTATTGTTTATATCGATAGATAAATATTTCTGCTTTCCGTTATGTGAGACATCACCATATTATTGCACCAACTTGCAAAAATAAAAAATAATTACAATAAATTATAACATTAAATCTTTATTCTTTACCACCTATATTTTTATAAAAACAAAACTCAATAATTGCAATTGTTCTTTAAAGTGGTGTCAAATATTCAATGTCTAAAAAAATCAAATAAATTCTCTAATCCACATATCTAGTCTCTACCAAAAAAAAAATTTTTTGAGGTAAATGAACGATTTAAGACGCCACAGAGTGGAAGTAAACATGGAGGGAAAGGGAAGAATAAGCAACGAGTAGACAGAAAAAGTGACGAACGAGAAAGTCTTGAAAAGGGTGAAAAGAACATTAATACAAACAATAGAGAATAGAAAAGACAAAATGCTGGACCACCTTATACGACATGATGATTTTATAAAAAATATACTAAGAAGAAAAAAGAGGGTAAAAGAGAAAAGAGAAGACCAAATAAATACATGGGACAGATGAAAGAAACACTATGTATCGTGTCGTAAAGGAAGGTCAAAGTTATGGCCTGGAATAGAGATAGCTGGAAGAGAATGCATGAATTAGTTGTCCCGACAAGAGGAATCTCTTACATAAGAAGAAGAAAGAAGAATAAATTGAGCTAGATACTACTAAATACATTAAAGAATAAAAATTCCGAAATACGATAGGTAATGAACAGTTTAAGGATGGATTTTTTTTTCATATTTTTTTATGATCTTATAAATACCTAACATTCTAATCTCTACAACATAAAAAAGCAACATAAAAATAAAAGTAACAAAATTTTTATTCTCTTCTTTCTAAACATTGTTGGTTCATATAAATACAAAACAACAATATACGAGTAAGTAACTAGAGATCTAACTTCGCAAAGAGCATTAATGCAATGTAATGTTTAATCTTACTTCAAACACCAGTAGGGTTGCCAGATGTTTGAGATTTTAGAAGTTACATAGTTCTGAAAGAAATATTTCCCTTAATACGTATACGTCTGTATTATAACAATCTCGATAATTGATAAATCAAAAAAAATCTTGGTATGGATTAAAAGTTATTGGTTAGAAAGATTTTTATTCTTTTGTTGTTTTTTTGTCTTTTAAAGTTTTATTCTGGCCTTTGATTTTCCTATAAACAAGTTAGTTTTTGGTTTCAACAATGCGAAAATATCCGCTAAAAAATTGAAATAATATTTTTAAATTATTTCAAATACTTCTCTCTATACTACACAATATCTTCGTTAATTCTAAATCAATATTGATGGTTATTTTTTTACCAAAAAGAGTTAGTCTTGTCTTATATTGGTATCAATTTTATTAAGATTGATGTCTTTTTGTAGAATAAAATCTTAAAACTGTTAGAAACACAATACAAATTACAAATTCGCTTAAAATCCTTATTTTCAATTGAAAGCTAAAACTTTACTAAAGACGCCATTTTAAAATATAATGGCGGATAAAAGAACTCATCAAAAATAAAAAGACTAATAATTCTTACGTAGAAAATCGCAATTTTTTTTAATTGCTATTTTTTATGTTTGTTTTGGTTCCTAATATTAGCTATGTAGCGCTATTAAACTTGTAAGACTAAATAGACTTGTTATATCTGTAAAATAACGTTATTATACGTTTGTGCTATTAAAACGAACGAAAAGTCTGTTTTGTTCTACTGTCTGTAGTGTGATAGACCTGAGCGGTAGAACCATACGAACATAAATCAACTTTACAAAGCTGCAAAGGATTAAGTTACATAATATGGTATCACGAAGCTGATTCAACAATGGAACCGAATGAGGCAAAAAAACGGAATAGGCATGGGGTTGCTTTATCTTATTACAAACTAGCTAACCATACATTGTCCTCTACAAATTCCGTGTCTCTTTTTTTTCTTTTTGTAACGTTCTTCAAATCAGTCAACCATTCTCAAATGACGATCCGATACTGGTCATATGTCCTGTCTAAAATCTATTTTTTTTCCCCTAAAAAGTTTAGCCAGACTATTACGAATATTATTCAAATTAATCTAGTTGTTCTCAATTGACGCAATTACGGACGTACAGCATTTAATGTTTAATAATTATTTAATCTCGTTATTTGATCGATATGTTCATTCCGAAATATAATTATATTATATAGACAATTAACGGCTAATAAAGTAACAAAATCGTATTGTAAATAAATATCGTAGATAAAAAAATATTAATAAATTAGATACCTATATCTATGTTCTTTATTTATATTTATTTATTTATATTTTATTGAACACATTACAAAAAAATATGGTGCAAAAAGCAGGCTTAAGGCTATATAGCATTCTCTCCAAGTCAACCTTTAGAAAAACAGAAATGTAAATATGTGGTAAGAATATTGAAAATTGATGTACGTAAATAGATAAAGATGTATCTATACATACATATCTGTCACGCCTGTCTCCCATCTATATTTACTCACAAATTATATAATATATACAATGGAGAACTACTACACGTTCGTTCATATCAAAAGCGAAAATATTGACAACTACAAGAAAAATTCTTAACAACCTTGTCACTGGAAGGATGCCCCTCCCTTTCCATAGACTCGTCCTTTATGTATTCATATTTTGCCTACATTAATAAACATTTGTATGAAATGACATGTCTGTATACGTTGATGTATATTTGTCTACCTTCTTACCTACTTAAAGCTGAGAAACCGTGCATTAATAAGACAATATTTGTTTGTTCCTCCTATCTACAATATATTATACTGTTCATGGTTTTAATACTTTACGTCGTGAACATTTACTTATTGCTTTATATTATTACCTTGAAGGAAATTGATTGTATTAATCGTTACATTGTTTATTCGAATTTTAACGTTAATTCTTCTGGTGATAGTTTAAATCTGACAAGTATCTCGAATTTTAACCATTGGTTCTAATTTCTGAATTATCTTGTGATGTATAAATAACAAGCTACTTATATCCTGTTGCTTTGCTCACGTTATTTTAAAATATCTTAACTATCTATTTAAAATATAGGTCTGTCTATGTACAAAACTTCATTCAAATCCTTTCAGTATTTAGTTACATGTGATTAAGTAACAAACATTCAAACTTTCACAATTATAGAATACCAACTAATAGAGTTGGGTCTAAGGAATTAAATTATAAGTTTAGACCATCCGGTGGACCTCCAGCTGTTCTGCCATTACGAGATGCATTATAAAAAAACTTAATCTCGCTCTTTTAATTAATTAAAAAAGAATTTCTGACAGTTGGGTAAATGTTAGTACCTACCTACTTCTTTAATAAATTATTCTCGCCATTATCCGAGTGGGAGCCACTCGACAGAATTTCAGTTTACCAAAGACCTGAGGGTTCCGCAACACTTCACTAATTAAGTTTCGCTTTTTCAATTTACTTCGTACTGTGATGTTCCTCTATTGTAGAAATAGGCGGTTTCTTTGGTAAAATGCTCAAACAATGATTTCCCTTTACCTTTATAAAACTACCTGATTTCGTAAGGTGATTGATGTTTGTTTAATGTATTTGTTTACATTCATAACTTTATTGGGAAGATACTATTGTACTCTATATAATACCAAGGTACAGGATTTCATTTCAAATTTTTCATCTCTTATTCGATTTTTTTTTAATATTTTTATATCAATATATCTTTATATATTCTATACTAATATTATAAAGACAAAATATTTGATTGTTCATCAAAATCTACTTTGTTACTGTTTAAAATTAAAATATTTTAGAGACAGTTTATATATCTAAACCTTTGATATCTTGATGAAGATATTCAGGGAAAATAATAATATATAATATGTTAACAGAAAAATTGTTCAAAGAAAAAGAAGTAGTACTTTATTAAAATGATATTTGTCAGACAAATCTAACCGGTTAGCAACAGAAAGTAACCATTTTTAACCAATAGTTTTTATTCTTATTTTTAACCAAAATCTCTGAGATTTCACCTAAAAGTATCAACTATGTATGTTGATATATATATGGTTTCAATCGTTATTTTCTATAATATGTACTATCTTCTATAAAATAAATCTTTTATGTTTATACAATATTTAAAAAATGTTTTTCACAGCTATTAAAATGTTTTTCCAAAAGAAGTCAACAATTTTTACTGGTACACTAAATTTAGACCAATCTCTGAGGCATTTCTACTGGCTGAATTTCTACTACTGTAATACAATTTTATTATCTGTCCTTCTATTTTATTACTTTACTTGACTAGATGGATACCTCACAGTTCCGTCCAGATATCTCTCTCTCGTCTCGTTCCTGTGGGAATTTTCAGAAGCCATAATGCTTTCGAACATCATACTGGAACATCTGTGAAAGATTCAACTTTCTATATTTAGCAGTTTGTTCTTACGTTGATATCAATCACGTACGTTACTTTTATTTATTTAGTAGCTATTATCTGCCACTTTACCCACATGAATTGAAAAGTATTATGTATGTGCTAATTCAGAATAAATTAATTTAATCAATACTGAATAGCAAACATTCAAAAATAAAACAAACCAATTATTACAAAGAAACTTATATTTATATTAATATAGTTTATATAATATTACTAGTATTCATAATATTACTAGGAGATCGAATGAAAGAGAACCGCCTTTTCTAAGATGTCATTACAAATAAGTTTTAACTATTCCATCACATTTAATTTTATCAACATACATACACATACGTATCCATATCGTCTATGTCCCATTAGGGTAGGCATAAACAATAAAACTCCTCAAACATAGCTCTTTTGATTCCTCCACATTCATCAATGTATTCATACACGCTCGCCGGTAACGAGTACTTCTACTATTACGTAATGTAATTAGATATTATTATATTTACGTACTATAATTAAATATTATCATGTACATATTTTATAATCTTCCATGTTGAGAATATTTTAAATTCAGAAAAAATCCATTAAAAAAATTAAAAAGTTGGAAGCTGTAAACCAAGTAATAAACGGTGACATCGCATTCAGTAAGTACTTCTTGTATCGCGTTTTATTCTTGTACGCATATTTATGTGAAAACTTTAGTTGTTATGAAAAACATTTTTACTGCAATTTGAAAAAAATATAATTCACAAAATTACCAGAAAATACTAATAGCCCTCTGATTCTATTATATATATCTGCTAAAGTTTCAAATATTTTTTTTATTTCGATATGAGTAACCAGACATATACTTTCAAACTTCTTTTTAGCCTCAGTAACGTCGTAAGAGGCGAGTAGAAACAAAGCACAATACACCAGCGGAAAAGAAAAATAAAATCCTTAATATGTGCTAACCACCAGGTCAGGGGGGAAAGGGAGTGTTAGTAATGGAGACTGAGAATCCCATTGCTAGCAATATACCCAACCAGGTCGACCTCCTCGCGGTTCTCCCTGGAAACTATCATGGTTAATTCCTGATGAATTCATCACGATGAGCTGACTGACCTGTTTTCATTCTCATCTATCACCCTTCACTGGTGCTCCGCCAGCGTATCCCGTTAGCGCAGGCGGGGTTACCATACCATTTTCACCCATCAAAAAAAAACCACCAGGTCAGTGTGATAATCGTAGAATGAATGTCACCTTATCTAAGATTCATACCATATGACGATACGTTAATAGATTGTTATAGATATGTTATGTTATAGACTAGAAGCTGTAATTTCTGCAATTTGGAGTTTTAAATTATATTAGATATACAATTTAAAATTCTATAATAAATTCTATAATTCAAATGTTCCTAAACATAACTTAAAGCTACTGACGTAAAACATTCCTTGCAGCAACAATATCACGTTATTAATCCTACCAATCTACACTAGCTACCTAATAATCTTACGTACTTAGCGAGATTACATTATACCATTTCAAATTATAGCTTATTTATTAATCCTTTGAAATGCCTAAAGCATTTATAATTCGAGTACAGGAACTACAATTCCCTAATCGTTAGTTACTGATTATACACTGATAGTAGAATACATAAATTGTTACTTAAAATATATAATATATTACCTAATTACACATACATATGGGGAATTATAAAGTAGTATACAATAGACTTCGATGTGTGGTTCCGGCATAGAATGGGCCACCCCTTGGGAACCACGGGAAAGGTCCCGTAGATGTCATAAGTCACCCCTTATTCCTAAAGGAACTTAATGGCTAAGAAATGGGCAGCAACATCCCTTTTAAAACATAACCAAATATTGCATTAAAATATAATCAAGTTCAAAAAAGTTTGTTTCTTAAATTGGTCTATTTAAGAATCACAAAGCAACGTACTCACTACTGCAGAGGCGAAGGGGATTCGTAATAGAGCCTACTGCTAGTAATTTACTATATTAGGTTGACCTTCACAGAGTTCTTCCTTAAAACCATCGTGGTTAATTCTTGATGAATTCATCATTTATTCGGCTATTAGGTTAACAAAATTGTTTCAACTGAAATTAAAACATGAGATCTCATTTACGCAAACATATACCTCGTAGTACTTCGAATAAGTACATTAGGGACTTGACATAACGAACCAATTATAGTATTATACTTCTGAACTTCCCTGAGGATACATTTGTTGATTCTAAAAACAAACAACGGCTTATTGACTTAGACTTTGTGCCTTTAGGCTACTGTTAGAACAATAAGTTTGACATGAATTCAAAGTAATTACTGCAATCACAACCTCACTGCCTCGTGCAAAGGATTTGCAAGTAATTCGTAATCTTTATTCAGAACAGACTGCTTTTGAATTAGCTAAATAGCTTTTTTTTATTTATTTCTTTATCGCGGACTTCTTTAAATGATTTCGTGTTTAGTTATATAGGTATTCAAGTATATTGTCTTCAAAAATAATGTTCCCTGTAAAAATAAAGCAAATTTTCCAGATGAAAATTTTGTACAAGTGTAGTCTGCATTGATACTAGGCATGGGTAATATGCATACCGATCCAATATCTATACATTGGGTTCTTCTGGACATTGATGGTAAAAAAAGGTCATCACCCATTTCAATATCGTCCATATCGGTCGGATATCTATTTTCGAATATCTTAAAAATCTATTATCCAATGTTACTTTTTGGATAACAGACATAACGCATTCGTTATTGGATCAGTATACAGATATTGTAACTAAAATTTATAGATATTGCTCTATTACTCACCCCTAATTGATAGACATCTACCACCCATGTTTCTGTCCTGAAGCAGCTGTATTTATATGGCTGTGTATTGATTTGATGGGTGAGATATGGCAATGAAATTACAGGTTATGAAGGCATAATACCTTAATCCTCAGAAATTGCAACGTATTAAAGGGACAACAATTTATTATTTGTGTATCTATCTATCTGTCTCTCGTATTTTCTGTTGTGTCTTGTGTTATGTAACTTGTCAAAAAATATAATGAATAGGAATATATATTTAAATTTTTACATGTATCACATCTCCATATTTAGAATTAACAGAATTTTTCATCGTGCCTCCGATCAAATTGTTTATATTTATAATAAGTTTACTATTGTAATCTTTTGAAGGAAAGAATAAAGAGTATATATCTATCTATCTATCAATTCTGTGATATACATGGTACTGTCCGTGTCTATAGGTGGCGGTTATTACTTTCCTTCAGGCAGACTGTTACTTTGTATGTCATATTAAGTTTTATAAAAAACAGTCTATTCTGTTGTGAAACATTCAGAGCATTTTGGCATCGACATCTATTCGAGCGTCTTCTAAATATGCTTGAACACGTCAGAGACTTTTACCACATTCCATTAAAAAGAACAGAGCTGACAAAACAGGCTTTTCTTCCACTGGCATTGACTCTGCTCAACGATGTCATAAGCCAGTATCCGGATTTGGGTATATTGACTAGTAAACTTTTCGAGTTTCGCAGAATGGCATTAAATTATTTAGAAAGTGTTCAGTAATTAAATTTTATTATGTTTCATATATTGTGAATGCTAAGAGAGCGAATTGGGAAACTGTCAAGCTTTCTTAGCTAGTAAATGTAATAAAAAATAAAGTCCTGAATTGTAGTGCAGTGCAAGTTTTATCTGTAAAATTATTATTATCATTAATTAAAAACACGTTGAGTTATTAATATTTAAATAGATAATTTAAAAGAGTAGTTTCAATTCATCGCATTTTACAGAACTAATGGTGGAATGTGCCCTCACTCACTACATGGACAAGTCTTAATAATTTACGAATTAATTTTAATAAATCTAAATATATGCAATTCAATAAATCTATTAATAATACAAGTTTGAAATTAAAAGTTGCGAACATCGAAGAAGTGCTGCAAACAAAATTTTTAGGAATCAACATAGACCAAAATTTAGATTGGAAGTCTCATATCGCATACATTTCTAAACGGATTAATACTTTCGTATACGCTCTTAAACGACTTAAAAACGTAACAAATATTAAAACAGCAATCACAACGTATAATGCATATATACAATCAATACTACGATATGGACTCATAATGTGGGGCAATAGTACGGAAAAAGATAGAGCATTTCTTGCCCAAAAAAAATGTATTAGAGCATTGTATGGTCTTTCACCTCGCGAATCGTGTAAGCCGGTATTTAGGAAGCTTGGTTTGTTACCACTACCGTCTCTATATATTTTTGAAATTTGTATGTTTGTACACAGCAATAAATATTTGTTTAAAAAAGCTACTGATATATATCCACGGAATCGACGTAATCCAAATAGACTCGTGCTGGATGACATTCCTCGTCTAGCTAAATATGAAAAAAGTTGTTTAGCTATGTGTGTAAAAGTATATAATAAAATACCGACTGAATTAAAATTGTTAAATGTGAATTTATTTAAAAAGAGATTGTATACTTGGCTGAATATAAATAGTTTTTATGATATAAAAGACTTCTTAAACAAAAAACAAAATGTTAATTGTTAACCTTAAATGTATTTTTGCATGCTATCACCTTGTTAGCTAAGCACGAATGTTCTTTGACTAATGTAACATCTTTAACTTTACCGTGTTTAAGCAAATAAAGATTATTATTATTATTATTATTATTATTACATTTCCACTTTTAATCATCTAGATATCATAGCCGCCTTTGTGTCTCATCCTATATACCTAATTATGTTTCATCGTTTGTTTTCTGTGATCATGTTTCCTTGCCTCATTGCGCTTCAGTGCTTTTGTAGCGAGCCGAGAGAAACGAACTCAACACAACGAAGCATATTATCCGTATATATACCTAAACATCATCTCTGAAGTTCTTTCATATAAATCCATTAAATTAGAATATCTTATGGGATTATTATTTATTTGATACTTTTTACCCTCGGTTTTTATCATGAAAATGGGGTATATTGATTGATCGGGATACCCTACATGCGTAGTACCCTACATACTCCATCTCAAACATACATACATACATATATAGCAAATCCCATGATCAAATAACAAACAAATAATTGCTTTTTATTATTATTTCAGCCGTTAACTGTCCATTGCTGGACATACACCATCCCCATAAGAGTTTTGCCAGTAGTTGCCACGCTTGGCAGGCGGGTTAGGAAACTCTAACTGCAGATTTTAAAAGATGTTTTAAGAGGGACGCTGCTGCCCATCCCTCGCCCTCCCTTAATCGCCTCTTACAACACACACGGAAAAGGAAAGGGTGGCCCATTTTATGCCGAGCACGGCAATATATTTGCTTATTTGTTTTTTCTTCATAGACATTAATTAGAATATATAAATTTCCAAATACTTTATTGACAGAATAACATTTTTATATACTACTTGCAGTATCTCACAGCAAAATGGATCATACTCATACATATAAAATCATTCATACGTGGAAGGGAAAATACAAATAGATAGAAAACTGAAATTTCTACTCCATTTTCATTGATTAAAAAACGGTAGTCCATCTGTATTATCAAGTTTGATCAATCATTGAAATCTGTCAAACTGTTTTAAACGCCATGAAGTAACAAACAACTAAACGTCTTAACATACTTACATTCATAATATACATAAAATACAAAATTCGTCACCACTCCATTTGCTTCCTGAAATATATGAGACAAAAAATTACATAAAACACAGTATACCAGTGCGAAAAGGAAAACTTGAAATAAAACTCAATAAGAAGGAAACCAACGTGATAATAGTAGGCTATATTCTTCTCTTATGGGTAAAGGCTCTCACCCAACAATGGGACGTTTATGGGTTGTTAAGGTAACGTAAGGGTACAAAATTTATCTAACAGTGACGTGTTCGGTGATTCGAGCAATATATGCTCACTTAAACGTACAAACAGATGGCGGATCAAGGATGGGTTCTCTGTTTATGAAAAGTCATATGAAATCCAAAGAATAAATAAAATACGAGTATAATAATATATCAAAATATTTTTTATTCTCTTTCTTGAAATTTATATTATCTGCTCTTGGTCATTTTATTCTACGTTTCAAAATTGTCTAGCAGAAATAGCTACAAAATACATAAAAGTATTCTATCTAATTTCAAATAATATATATATTTTTAATACATTTACCTTATGCGCCGTGTGGTCCCAGCATAGAGTAGGCCACCCCTTCCTTTTCCATGGATGTCGTAAGAAGCGATTAAGCGAAGGCGAGGAATGGGCAGCAATGTCCCTCTTAAAACATATCAAAAACCCCCAAGAGGAAGACTTATATTCAGCATTGGATAATTAAAGGTTGATATTATATTGATTTTATTGATATATATATATATATATATATATCTTTTAATAATAAACATTGTTATTCACCCAAGATAAAATTAGATAGAAAATACAATCCATCTCATGCATTAGAAGTCACGTTAAGCTGTTGGGTTAAGCCGGCCATTATCATATCTTGTGATGACAGTTGTTAAAACAATCTACTCTGAGACGGGTCCGGTATATCCTGGGTTGAGAATGACCGACGGCCAAGTAAGTACCGTATTCAAACTCGATAAAATCTGGAACTGAATATATATTGATGAAACGTATCTTATTTCTAGGTTATCAACTTGTTTTATTGCTGCACGCTTTACTATGTTTTTAGAACAAGATGATCAGAATTTTCGATACATTTGTTTTTGTCACCAAGCAGCTGTGGTTGTGTGACCATTTCAGATTGAAGGGTGAAAAGGGTCTTGAGTACAGAAGCATGATCCCTTAATCCTCAGGGATGGCAATACACGATGGTTCACAATATTTTGTGTGCATGTTGTGTGATCCCCTGCCAATATATTTTACCAATACCCTAAAAAATAACCCAATACACTTTAATGTAACATAAATAGAATATCATATTTAAACAAACAACAAATTTACGTTCCAAATACAGGTATGTTTAAATACAAAGTTGTGCCATTTAGTGATAAACAAAGCAATCTTCAGTGGCTGAACTTCGCATAGTTATAAGTAGGGTTGCACTAAACTTAATTATATTATGTGGAGTCGAGTGAAATATTAAAAATCTTATTCCTTTGTTATTATTTTTCTGACACGATTTAAACATACAGGAATGGAACAATCCTTAATACTTGTATTAAATGCATTATAAATGAATATTATTAAAAAAATTATTATATTATTTACAAAAAATAAAGTGAAAACACGCTTATCTAAATATATCTTGGAGTGATTTCATGTTGTTTTTGTACACTTAATTAAATTGTAATGCCAATTAAATTCTCAAATCCTACAAATGTACCGTCTAATTGATAAATATACTCAGAAATAATTAAATCATTTAGATACACGTGTATGATATCAATATAAAAATAAAATTCTCTGATTCGTAGATAATGTTATAGTCAATAGATAAACAAAATTAAATTATAATTATTGTAAAAGTTAAAAGTTAATCATTATGTTAGACATTTAATACACATATAAAAGATTTTCTTATGTACTCTATTATGACCTCCTTATATACAAATAACATGGTTCACTAATTAATGATTAAATTACTGTATTCATACAAACACACATTAACTAGTAATAAATCATATAGATTTATTTGATAATAGCTTTTACCTGCGACTTCGTTCGAGTGACCGAGATATATTCACTGACCAACATCTTTTCTATCCCATGTGTACTCAATTTCATAAAATTTGATTGAACTGTTAAAGTCCTAAAAAACAAACTACCTGTCTTATTGCTAGCAATATACCCTGTGAGGTCGAGCTCCACTTAGTCCCTCCTAGAAACCATCGTGCTGAATTCCAGGTGTATTCATCACGATGGGCTTGCTAACTGACCTGCCTTTTCATTGTCACTTATCATCCTTCACTGGTGCTCCGCCAGTATATACCGTTAGCGCAGATTACCATTCCATTATCATCTGTTAAAAAAAAATAACTAACTTTCATTTCTATAATATTAATAAGGACTAAATAAGATTTTTAGAGACACTATAATTAAGAATTTTACACATTTGATGTAAGTATAAAATGATTCCATCGACACTCATCATTGACATCGATAGCGACTTATGAACAGTTATTTATTTTGGCAACCCTAGAAAGGAACAACTAAAATTCCAGTAAATACTTAGTAGCGACAACACATAAGTACGAGTTTTAAACATTTATGTGTAAGTATAAAGCTATTCCACCGACACCCTAATGAATGGACATTTATTTTGGCAGCCCTAGCAACTGGAATTCCAGTAAGTAAGTACTTATGTAGTGGCGACAACACGTAAGTACTGAGACACAAGTAACTTTCCGAACTCAATTAACTTTATGTATCGCCGTCTTCGTGTTCGGAATGTCTAGCGCGAATTGTCGGGTTCGTTATTCGCAGGGGATTAGTTAAATGGGATTTAATGATCCTCTCTTAATCCGTTTAGCTTACAAATTAAGACCTTGACAACGATTGGTGAAAACAGTTTTTACTCGACTACAGTGACAATACAAATTAGGGGAATAATTTTCAAGACGTGTATCGTCTGTTTAAAATATCTACGCAACAATTAGTTAATTCGATAGATTTTAAAGGAACCCTCAAAAACAAGAGGTTCTCAATTCATTTCTTTTTATAACGACTTACAAAAGAATTTATCAATTCGGATTTTGCTATATCACGCAATTATTTGAACTCAATAGGATATAATATCTTCTATTGATTCTGTATTAATTCTGTGCCCATTCAATCTGCCATTTATTTGATTGTAACGGTTAACTTGTAGAGAATGCCATTAGGCATTAAATCCACCTTTTATGTCCGACATATTTTAATGTGTTAAAGTATAGTATAAGTAAATAAAATAAATAAACATATGTTGTTTATTAATCTATATATTTATAATGTTGTTTATTTATGTATTTATATATGTGTATACGTGTGCGTGCGTGCGTGCGAGAGGGCGCGCGTGCGGGCGGGCAGGCGGGCGGACGTGAGGGCGAGCGTGCGGGCGGGCGGGCGAACGGACGTGCGTGCGTGCGTGCTTGTGTGCGTGCGTGCGTGCGTGCGTGCGTGCGTACATGGGTGATTGCGTGCGTGCGAGCGTACGTGAGTGCGTGCGTGCGTGCGTACGTGAGTGCGTGCGTGCGTGCTTGTGTGCGTGCGTGCGTGCGTGCGAGCGTGTGGCGTGCGTGCGTGCATGCGTGCATGCGTGATGCGTGCGTGCGTGTGTGTGCAATAGAGAGAGAGAGTGAGTGCGTGCGTGTGTGTGTGTGTGTGAGAGAGAGAGAGAGAGAGAGTGAGTGCGTGCATGTGTGTGTGTGTGTGGCAATAGCTATAATTTGACGACAGATAAAAACAAATATGACAGTCATATTGTCATACAGTTGCAAATATTATTATTTAATTAATCTGAAATTTAATAGTCAGATTATTGTGAGTGTCTCATGCCCAATTATTTTATTGTTTCTATTTAAGCAGTGCCGCATATTCGTAATAAAATTAATAGAATAATACACAATAATATGTATATTCAAATATAAATGGAACCAATCTTTTCTTTGGGACGCAATGCAGAGTAAAACCCTTGGAATAACTTCATGCATTGCGAATAGTCGCCAGATATAAATACACTATGAATAGTAAAAAGTATATCGTTCGCAGTATCAAAAGCACAAATATAATTTTTTTTTTTGTATTATTATAGAAAAAATTAAAAAGTACAGAAAGAGACTAGGTTAATCTTTCAGTTATATTACTTTAGTTTGTATTTCAAACTTTGTTCTCTAAATTCTTTACTAAAGATTCTTTCTAAAAAAATTGTGCATCTTGGAATGACATAAGCTATCCACCTAATGGAAAATGGTTATTGTCACTTATTGACCTGAACAACCCCATAGGCATCCCAACTACTTACAACGACTACAACTACTACACTAGCTTTTACGTCCAGTTATATTGATCGACTGAGACAAATAATAATCTATGTCCTTCTCCATCCCCAGTAATATCTTTCATATGTATACCAAATTTCATAACAATTGATTTAGCCGTTAAGCCGCTAAGAGATTACAAACTCAATTAGTAAGAATATCTTACAATATTAAGGTCTGACCTCCCTCACCTTGAAAAGGAAAAACTGACTGAATCATCACTTAAAAATACAATAAAACTAAACTATCAGATCTAGCTATAATCGTGGAATTCCTTATACTAAGTAAATAGACGCATATGAAGCGAATTCCCGAAACTCTTGAATGCAACGAGAAATAGACAGTCCTTATGATGTATATATGTACATATATAAGCTATGCTGTAAGCTATGTATGTAAGCAAGAGCACTTTGCCCACTTGCATAATCCATCTAAGACTTACATTCCAGTTGTGGACAGTCTTCACTTATCATACCTATCGCTACGCGTATTATATATTCTTTATTGCACTAAAACATACAGTAACAACAATAAGTTAATAACAATGTTAGCAAAGGCGAACTTATCTCTAAAAGAGATTTCTTCAAGTCAACCTAACGCAGTGGCATAGTATTTTGTTATGTAAAAATTAATGTTTAGTAAACTCTTGGTATTTTTATTTGATATATATTACATTATTTATTATTGTACAGAAGCGGATGTAATAAAAAACATAAAACACAAACTCATTGAATTATTAGAGAATTATACAAAATACTATAAATATGCATGTAGTTAACATAGATTAGTAACTATTGTGAACCAATGGTCCTTTCTACTATAGTAACGCTTTGAGCTGGCTTTATTTGTTAAAAATAATTTAAATAAATATAACAAATTAAAAAAATAATAGACAGCACCACAAAATCATTTCAAAACAACATAGAACGACATTATTCACTAAAAGTGTCTTAGGGATGGCACCTAGAATATATAATAACGTACCTAAATCCCTCACAGACATAGATGACATAAAAATATAAAACTAAACTGTATGAATACCTAGTAAACAGAATATACTATTCAATTGACGATTTCCTTGAAAATAAATGTAATAAATTTCCATAATATTATAATTTTTTACTATAAATGTGACATTGTTGATTTTTTTATATAATTTTTTTTCTGATATATTTGCAAATTTGTATACCTCGATAGATGATGGGGTTGATCATAAAGGACTTATCTTGTTTCACCATCCATTGTTACCTATGTATCACAATTTAAATAAATAAATAAAAATAAATAAACGCTTTCTATAATAATATTTAAATGTAGAAACCTGTCGCCAAATGTTATTGTTGCATTTAATACAAAATAAAAACAAAGCAATACAAAATTAAACAACTTTTTTACGAATGACTTCATCTGCATGACCAATATACGAGTATATAATACACGTCCATCCATAATGAAGCTCAGCCTATGTCTACCTCAATCATCACAATTACTACATGAATACCAAATTTCATGAACATCATGATTTCATGATAACAAACATACAGATTTTCACATGCTTACTAGTATTGTAATTATAAAAATAAGTTTGTTTTTTTTGCATCGTTATCATAATATCAGCCGTTAATTGTCCACTGCTAAAGATAGGTCACCCTCATAAGGGGGGTTTGCCTGTAGTTGCCACGTTTAGCAGGCGGGTTGGCAACAGCAGTTAGGTTTTGGTGATGTTTTAAGAAGGACGCTACCCATCCCACGCCCATTGAGTTGCCATAGTTACCTTTTACGATAGCCGTGAGAAAAGAAGGGGTGGCTCATTCCATACCGGAACCACAAGGTACTTTTTTGCGAATACTTCAACCTTTCACTTCAACTTCTTGTCACGAAATTGGGCATACACGTACCACTTGGAATGAAAAATAACATTGGCTACTTTTTATTCTGGTCAATCAATAAATCCCGGTCACACAGACATTAATAAAATAATTTCCAAGACGTATTGTTATTCAAAGTTTCATCTATGGGGCCCAACTACTTTTCCCTCGTCTTTATTTCCCGCATCATAAATTCACAAAGCATAACTGATTTCAATTACAGACCACCGACGAATTCATTTCATGAAAAGGTGAGGGATTTTTGGAATATCATAATGAATATTTGAATAATTCATGCACTTATACTTTGGTGAGCAATCGGATAATTTTAGACTGGGACTAATTTAAATAATTTATTGATTTAACTTCTAATGATTAATGGACCACATTAAAATTTTAGCCTTAATTTCTTATCTCAAGTATTATAAAATAATCTATTACGTAGATATAAT